TTTTCAAAGTGTGAGGCGGGCCTCCCTAGGGGGTCTCCAACTGGTTTCAGGGGAGGCTCAGTGAATGGAAGTGAAACAATATTACATTACTTATGGCATTAGTTATCAAAAGGAGATCATACAGAATAGCCTATGTGTGAGAGTTCAGAGATACAGTAGTTTTTGGGAACTGTTTTCCCCCCATTCACACAAAAAATAATAAATGTCCTAGGACATAACTTTTTTTTAAAAACTATTTGAAGTTATGTCAAACAGCAATATTGGGCTCAAAGGTTGAGTGTCAGTGTCAGATGCACCAAAAAGTTAATATCCGAAACAGATATTCTTTTAAATGTTCAATATGTCTAACTTAAAAAATATATGTACTGACACAATGTTGCTAGAATGGGAGTTTTCTTTGCAACTTTTGACATACCTGTCCCCCTCTGACGCACCTGTCTCTTGCTATAGAGGTGCAAAGTAATTAATTGTTCTGAAATGTTCAATATGAACAGAAGTAGACAGTATATATTAGGTGAAAATTATGTAAATATGATGTGGGCAGCGTTTCAGAGGTTTTAAAAGGGTAACTTGTACAAGTTTGTTTCAAGTCATCTGATTTATATGTTTCTGTATTGGAATCAAATACACCTGAATTTAAGCAGACCACAGCCTTCTGTTATCCATGAACACACAAAATAAACATATCATTCACCTTTGAAATTTACAGATCTAATTTGGACAGATTATAAACTTAACAAATGTATGAATCAGACCTTGTATCGGCTGTAAAGGTCCTCAAGATCTTCTGGTTCTGGTGCCAGAAAGGACAGACCTGTCTGAGGTCTGGAGGTCAGTATTGCTGGCATTTCGTCCTGTGAGTGACAATAACACAACAACATTTCACATGCAAGTTATAAACTATTGTATTTTACACATCAGTGATGAGCTTGTATTGTACCCAACAAACAGAAATGTATATTTATAGTAACGTTACAAACTACTTTCAGATCAGGATCGAAGGATAGCAAAAAGATAACTTTATGGAAACATTCCCAAAAACAACAACTGAATGCTAGGTTTTTACATTGCACTAGACAACACTAACCTTAGCTTAGCTACACTTAGCTCGTTAACAACTAGCTAACTTAACCGCTCGTAAAAACACAATCCGACTAGCCTACACGTTACAGATAACAGCCGTTTCAACGCATCGGTAAACATAAAAACATCAACATCAATCTTTGGTGGATACAGTTTTATAAAACCTTCAACTTAATTTAAACACACTGTTTGTCTTGAGCTCTACTAAAATCATGCTAATGCTAACAGCTAACTTGCGTGACATATCAACTGCAATGAGTAGAGAATGAATTGGCAGGTTTACGTTTCTGCAATTTCAACGAACTAACAACGGGTAAAAGATAGCGACAAAAAACACATTGACAGCAACACTCAAAAATGTGTATTTACAAAAGCCTACCACAGAAACTCTGTCAATTAGTTAGTTGCAAAACAGGAAACAATCTTCCTAATTCATACCGGGCTCTTTTCAACAGCTACGATGTCCTCCATGTTGAAATATGCCTACCAACTGACGTTAAAACGTAATAAGACGTAATACGTAAAACGTTGGCAGAAGGTTGTATGGGGAATGGAGTTCTTATTCGTCTTCTTTAAGCTGCCATTAATCTACTTATAAGGTGCATAACGCCACCTACTGTACCGGAGCATGTAGTTAGAGATATTGTCCCTGAACTACTTTCATCGAGATAAATCAAGTTAAAAGCCAGAGTTTCCTTCAAGCCTAACTGACTATTTGTGATTACATTTTTTACTTATCTGATTGCAGATAACTGTTATCATATATTGTGTTTAAAATGTGTAAATATTTAAACATCTACATAGAACGTTAATTGCATATTGATTGTATATAGTGTGTAGGCTATATATTTTTACTATGTAGAATCTTCTCTTCTCTTGCTAAATAAGTTGACACAATGTTGATTCTCATCTTGTAATTGATCTAGCCCATTTTTACCTCAGAAGGCATTTTCTTCTAACATGTAATCAAGACCGACAAACTGTCAGATTTGACACCACTGTTATTAGTTTGAAATTGTTGTACATGATGATCTCTTTCTTCACCTCTTCTCTGGACATTTGGTGCCTGGTATGTGCACCGTAATCTTTCCACCATCTTCGTTACCTAACTTCAAAATAATTGAATAATTACTGCTGAAATTAGAATTCTCCTATTCCTCAGCAATTTAGCGCTTTGTTTTTCCAATTTCCATCTCCAATGGTCACCTGAACTCAACAGAAGTGGCCCTTTTCATCACTGAGCATAAGAATAACTTTCCATTCCTCATTCAAGTTCAAGTTCAAATTAATTTGTCCCTGATTGCAATAGGTTTTGCAGCATAAGTTCAACATAGAAAACAAACGTAAAATCACTTAAGAGTCACACAGACTCAGCAACACTGCATCAATGAATAAGCAGTATCATCAGAACAGCATGAACATCATTCTACAAGTTGGTCTACATACTCATGATGGGTAGGCCTAATGTCTATGGATATCTGTTAGTTTTGACTGAGGGGACCCTTAAGTGGGTGACAGAGAGTAGATTGAAACTGTAGATGAAGAGAGCTCCCCTGACACATACTCGTTTAACCTCGCCATCTATGAGTAACTTGCTAAAACCCACCAAATACACATTTTCCCATCTTTAAAAAAATATATAAAGGTAAAAGAATGAATGCCAAAAATTATAGAATGACATACAATTTTTATGATTTACATGAAAATTGAGAGTTATTTTATTGTTTTTATACAACTTCACCACAGGCAAGTGTATATCCCAAAGAGCCTTGTCTTGTGCAAGTGGGTGTGCATAAAGTCTTCACACATCTGCACACCACTGCAGTTTCCATTCAGAGCTCAACTGTTAAATGGTTGATTAATATTGAAGATAGACGACTGGATTAGAACTGTAACCTTTCCCGTGTGTGGGAGCGCACATGGAAAAAGTGGGTCATGTGTATCAGCAATTCATTGGCCTGTCAATCCTTACGTGGGAGGATCGTGGTTTGTTTAAAAGGCATCATTACATCATGGTCGGTCGCCTCAGTTGAAAAACAAGGTAAAGTGAAGCCTGCATGAAGAAAAGAACTCTGCATGTGAATTGTTATTCTAGATGAAATTGAAAGTTCTTTCTTGACCTTAAAACAGCATCAGACACAAGTAAGGTCCACCCACAGTAAGGTCCACTTACTCGCTTGTACTGCAGCTTTTGATCACATGGTCTTCAACAGCAGATACATTTTTCAGAGCTTCTTGTTCACGTTGGCCTAAGAGTTGAGCATAACAGTTACTACCGTTACATACCGCTTCTTTGAAACAATAAAACAATCTCAAATAACTTGCTTGCGAAACAGTCAGAATCTTTAGGACCAGCAAGTAAGTGGATCTTGAGTGGAGATTGTTTTGTCGATCACTGTTTCCAAGATCAAGACTGAACTGTCAAGCTCAATTTTTAAGCCAAAACGAACGAGTTGTCCCAAAAATGTTCAGAATTATGGAGTACCTGCAGTGTCCTGAAAATTGAGCCTGCTGATGAAGACTGTGATTCAGTCGAAAGCACCAGAATGTGTGAATAACTGGAACTTAAATGGAAATTGTTCTCACATCTGAAAACAAGTCCTTGTTCTCCTTTATTCATTAAAAGAACAAAAGTACCACATCCTGTTACTGTGCTTTCACTTTTGAGCCAAAACGACAATACATTAGACCTGCGTGTGCTTCATCTGTTGCACTCAAAGGAGGTAACGTCTTCTTTTGTCCCGAGACATGCTGAAAATAATTTTGTCTGACAGGCAATGGATGTTTCTCTACTTTATGGTTTCAGGTACAGTATATAAAGATTTTTGACTTGCAGATAAAAATGTGTGTGTTTGTAAAAGGGATCCTTTTTTGAATCGTAAATATTCTGTAGGCTCATTTGCAGGAAATTCCAAATTATTTCTCAAATGAGGAGAGACAGTTGATGCTATTTTCCTTCTTAGCAGTGGTATTGCGGTGTATGCACAAATCCTGTATTGGTGTATTTTTCAGACATGTAACAACAACAACAAGCTTCAAGTTAGATGAAGAATTGAACAATTGTTGTCTGATTCTTAGTTGCTCAATTTGTTTTAGTTCCATGACAAAACTAGGCAGAGAGAACCAACCAACTTAACTTGATGTTAGTGGACAGAGACAAAATATTTTTTTATATTTTGTCTCTTAAGAGACAGTGTAAGGGAAGACAGGTGACAAGAGAGAAAGAGAGAGAGGTATACAACAAAGATCACCAGCCTGAAGTGATTAAAGGATGTTGTTGCAGTTATGTGGTTTGTGCCTTAACCTGCCTCAGATTTTATAATAATCGCTGGGTGTGAAACTGACTGAGCATCAGGCCTTCACATTCTCTCTGTATCATTATTTTATCCTCGATTACTTATACCCTTTGAAGATCGTGCAGCAACTCTTGGCTAACTTAATAAAACAATGTAAAGAATTTGTGGCAACTTTTACTTGACAGGTTTTTGGTAAATCCTTGGCTGTTGTGTTTAGGGGAATGGGAACCTCAACAACTGACTGCTGAAGCCAACATACAGTGGATAAAGACACATATCCTCCTACTAGATGCTTAATACAAAAAGAAAAATTGTACTGATGCTGTTAGGAAAATTCCAAGCCCAACTATTTCCTTTAAATATTAAGTCTGAACAAAAGTTTGGCAACATGCAGTTTCTTGTTCCACCTGAGCGGTAAATCTCTTTGTGTAGATTTGGATGTTTATTTTTTGGGTCCAGTGACTGCAAAGTTGGCATGACCCCAAACTTCAGTCTATAAAACATCCCCTCAGAAGTCATACGTTTTATATCCATATACTTCTCCTGTCTGTTGTTTTGGGGCATGGCTTGACCTACCTGTGAATTTAAGGTGCTCAATAGATGGATCAGTATTTTCCAGCTGTCTGAAGTGTAGAATAAAAGTGGAACTGCAGCAATCATATGATCATAAATTCAAAATTGTGTTCTTTATTAAGCTGAAAATTGGTTGGTCAAATTCCGAGATAAAAACCATAAACTCATATTGCTTCAACCCTGTCAGTTGCTGCCTGTGGCTATATTCACAAGCATCATAACACGATTTTAATAGAACCACCCATGTGGAGGTTGAGCATTACTGTGAGACACTGAGATTATTACGGTTAACCAACTTCCTGATATTGTTTTACTTTGATGGCTGTTTTTCAGGTACTTGCTGCCTTGTCACAGTCCACCAGCCTCCTGTGCTTACCACTGCTCTGGGTGATGATGTCATGATGCCGTGCCAGCTCAACATATCCCACAGTGAGAAAATGGTGACCTTACCGGTTCTGTATTGGGTGTACGTAACACAGGGCCCTGTGAGAACCAAAGTGTGGTTCCCCTCTGGGAGATATGAGGGACGTGTAGACCTTCTGGACAACAATGCAAACTCTTCAAACAAGTCCATACACCTCAAGAATGTCCATTGGGCCGACAGCGGGAAATACCTCTGCAAACTCTCCATGACCACACAGAAGGCTAAAAGTTTCAGGAAGATAGGAGATGGAACTTTCCTGTTGGTTCATGGTAAATACAAGATTTTAGATTATTCGTTTCCAGTTTATTGCTGTAAAGGTGGTACCAAATGAAATATACGTCAAAGGGAGAGAAAGACATGAGAATATTTTAACAGTCTGAACATCTGCATGTAATCTCAGGCTTTTGGTTCAAGTCCAGACAATTAGACAAAGGTTGGTTTATCTGGATGATTAAGAAAATCTGAGGGGCAGTACAAATCATGAGGTACCTGTACTCAAGTTTTTCTATTATATGCCACTTTACACTGCTAGAGGTAAAAACTGTACTTTTTACTCCCCTATGTTTATCTGACAGCTTCAGTTACTAGTTACTCTGCTTTGCAGATTCAGATTAACAATACAAAATACATAAATAAATTATGATAATATTACATCAATGAGACTTTATTGGACCCCAGGGGAAATTCACAAGCTATCAGGCCTATGTAAAGTAATACATAAAATAAATACAAATAAATTAAAATTAGCCCAACCTTTGCCAGCTGCAACATTAAAGCTATTAACACATCAATAATAATCAAATAATGTGATGTACATTATTCTGAAATGAGTTGAAAAATGATAATGAGTAGGCTAGTGCTTTGTGATGTTAATACCTTTGTACTTTTACTTAAGAAACATTTTCATATAGTGTGGTATTAATTTTGCTTAAGTAAAATGTCTGAGTAGGCTACTTCTTTTTAAGGCCTAAGTCTTAGTGAATTTATTCTTAAATAACATTTACATGGCTATCTGTATCACAATGTTATTAGCATTACTTGGGTTTAATACTAAAGGAAATTTAGGGTTGCTACCCCTCCCTTAAAATATGGAATCGTCCCATATTTGAGAACTAAACAGCGCTTCCCGTTTTGAATCAATAAGGGACTTGTCCTTTTCTCCCCCTGACTGGGTAATACTCGGGGCCATTGTTGATTTGATTAATACCGTCAGGTTCAGGGCCAATCGGAGTCAGATGAGGGCGCGTCTCTTGGCAGGGGCTCGAGTTGATATAACAGCTAGTAGGCCTACGTGCTCCAATACTGCACACAAGTCTTTCCAATCAAATCGTATCTAAGCATTTGTTTTAGCCTATTTATAGTTCATAAGTTATGGACATGTTGATTTAATAAGTTAATAAAATACAGTTCATATCCTATTTTTTGGTGGTTTCACTGTCATAGCTGTGTATTCAGCTATGACAATATGAACACTAGTCTTTTGAGCTGTGATAGAGAGTTCATCTGTTCACACTGAATACAATAGCAGATAGCTTATTACAATGTCCATTGGTATCAATCTTAATCCTTTCCTGAAAACATGTTTTAAGTTATGATATGATATATATATATGTATATGTGGCCCCCACTGCGGTAGGTGTCCCTTATTTTTCTGCATTGAATGTGGCAACTCTAAAGGAAATACAATTAAAGTTTGTGTAATTGAGTCTTTGCAGTCCAGTCAGGGATGAGGATTTGCAGGTTATAGTCAGCTTTCTGCAATAACCTTTTTTCCAGTGTCTTTTACTCGTGTCACATGTCATTTGTACTCTATCTATGCATTTTGCTTTTTTTCATAAATGACTTACTTCTAAAAAACATTTAATGATTTTCATGATTTTAACCCTTTCAGTGACAGTTTAATTGTTTGAATTGTTAATTATTTAATACAAAAAAAGTGAATTATTTTCCATAAAAGAAATAGTAGGAGGATGGTTCTTTGGTGGTAATTGGAGTCTTGGATATGACAAATATTACCAACAAAATTGATTTGATTGCATTAGTATTTTTATGTAGTGTCAAATACTCCCTCACTTGTATTTATGAATAATCATTCAGTCTTTCTTTGACACATCCAATACTCTAATTATCACTAAAGCCCCATCCCCCTACTATTTATTTTATGGAAAATAATGATTTTTTTGTGCTTTTTGTAATAAATAATGAAATAGTTCAAGTAAATAAACTGGAATTTAAAGGGTGAAAATCATTAAATGTTTGGCAGTTTTGAGCAGGGTAGAAGTTTTTGAAGTGAATTATGAAAAAAGCAGAAAGAAATATTATTTATTTTATGTATGCATGTACATTTTTACCACAAAGGTGTCCAGAGGGTGCAAGATTTGAGGAGGGCATAAGGGATAATTGTATGTAAAATAATTCAAACAAAAGGTGTAGTAAATCTCAAACTGAAATAAACAAATACGTCTGTTTTCACAGCGGAACAATGCAAATTCAAGATAAATTTGCACAAAGAGAAAGAAGGTGTGCTCTTTCATTTGCCGAGCCTGTTTTCTAACTGCAGCAATCAGAAAAGGCACTATTTATATATCACTAATACAATTAAAATAAGCCAGTCTCTGATTGCTGACAACCTGCATGCAAACAAGTATTTAAAAGGTTATTGCAGAACATGTGAACAGTTTGTCCAATTTCTAGCCTTAAGCTAATTTCTTAAGGCAAATAAAAAATCTTTATTAATATCCAGGTTTTCAGTGTGAATGAAAATAAAAATGTCTCCATGGTAGCTGGAAATTGCAGTGACAAAAATAGAGGACTGAGAAGAATTTTAAGATAATAGACAAAACCTTCAAACCTTGTGTTTGAGTGTTCTTTCTTATGCCGTGTTTCTGTCTGTATCTCTTTTCAGACACAATGATGTTTAACCTCACCAGTCACAATGACTCTCTGCTCTGGTGTGAAGTAAACGTGACCCAGGATCCTCGATTAGTTTTGTCCATTTTTCATGATGGACACAAACTCCAAACTGTTGAATCTGCTCTAGGAGAGAATGTCACAGCTCTGCCCTACGTCACGCTCTCTGAGGCTGTTTCTCTGAGGAGCGCTGGAAAATATGAGTGTCAGCTGCACCTGAACAAAGATCTGATAACAAAAAGCATCTTCCACTACCATCCATCTGGTAATTATCTGTAATACTAAGTCCTTTCTTTTGAGTCATTTTTTTTATCAATTATTCTAGTCTACAGTTTTCATTACAATGGAAGTTTATGCCTTTACCAAAGGAAACCAAGGCCTTAAGACCAAAATAAAATTCCTTGAATATGTGAAGGGGGCCTGTTCAAGCTAAACAGTATGATCCTTTAGCTGTACTGCAGATTATAAAACAAAACACTCTCTTACCCAATTATGTCATACGTGCCCTGCAGGCTCAAACACAATCTTCACATTAACTCTGACATATGTGGTTCCAGCATAATTTCAGTTATTTATTCCCAACATCTGGACATATCCACTAACATCTGCAAGAAAGCTTGTCTTCCCATTCTCCCTCAAGACTTTCAGCTAAAAATGTCAAGCATGAAAACATCAGTGAGCGTTATTTTAAAACTGCAGGCAGTTTTATGTTTAAGATGCTTCATTACCAAGAAATCATGCAATATGTCAACATTAAAGTGAAGACTCACAATATGTAAATGTTTTCTCCCTAGAAGAAGATGGATATGCTAAAAATGTTTCTGTAACATGTCCCACAACTACCTCTGGTGAGTCTGCAGCAAGCGCTCACTTTCTGCTGCTTTTGCTGTTTAGGAAAAATGTTGGCTGCATTTTCTTTGCCTTTTGTCTTTGTTTTTTTTTTGTAATTTGGTCATTTCCCCTTTCATTTCAATTAGCTTCTACACAAGAAAGGATTTCAGTTAATCCAACACTGCATCAATGTGTGATTTAATTTTAGGATTATACTTAATAGCAGTGGTTTTGTGTTTCTCAACGCCAGGTGTGGAGATGTTTCCAGAACCATGGGCCATGTATATAGGTCTCCTCCTAGTGCCCATCACCATCCTGCTGGGCCTCGTAATTACCCTGCCTATGTGCAGAAGCTGAGTTTGTCAACATCTGGCTGGAACGGAGATACTTGGCAATGAAAATCCAGGCTGTCATCAGAGAAAAGAGACATGTCTCTCCGATGCATTTTCAGGATCAAAGGGACCAGCCGCAGTCAATTCAAGTTAAACCACTGTCAAATATTTACCTGCATCTGAATTCAGAGGCGGCAGCCTTCAAAGTCCTAAGGCATTGTAATGGTTCCACAAGGCTGTCCCATGTTAGAAATGTTGCTCTCTTTCCCTCACATTTATAGGACACATTCAGCTCTCAGAATCCCAAAATCCATTTTGAACCGGTCAGTTGTTTCATGATGCATCCTGGCAGTCATTGTTAACTCCCCGTGCAAGTTGCCCTGCTTTGACCCCAGGCTTCGACACCAGTTGATACAACTAGTGTGGCAGTATCATTGGCTCACAGAACATCTGATGTGGGGTGCACATTTAAACACAGGCTGCAACAAAGCCGTCCCAACAATTTATTGATAGCACTGATGGATGGATGGTGGATGATTTTCTTGTGTTCTGCATTATTAATCCATCCACAATCTCGGCAGTTCTGTAAGCTTCTGGATTTCCTAAACAAAGAAATATCTGTTCTTTCTTTGTGTCTAACTAGGAGTCTATGGTGGGTGGATGAAGATAAAGCAAGGCACGGTGGCTTGTGATTAAAATGTGCCTCCCACATCAGAGCCAATGCTACTTTCAACTGTCAATAACGTTTAAAGTTGGGAAATATCACGGGACTACGTCATATTTACCAGGTGCTTTCCTTTGAATGATTCATCAGTCACTGGTGTATATATCACATGAAGTGTGGACTGTTTTCCAGAAACACTACTGGGGCATATAATGTAAATCATGTAAACTGTGTCAGCCCCTGAAATGAATTGGGATGCAGCAAGTGATGATATGACAGCATCAAATACATCATGATGTTTTTGGCATTGAAACATGCACGTCAAACATTTTGGCAAAACGTGTTAAAGGCATTAAAATAATCTCATTGATGACTCTCATTGATGATTTTAAAGTGGAGGGTCCCTGTGACTAAAGCACACCACAAAACAATGTATGTCTCTGTAATATACTGTTTATTAAGACATCATTGCAAATCACTTCTTATTCCAAATACTTAGAGGGATGATCTGCATCTATTGTTTCCTTTGCCTAACCACAACTTCTGCAATAATTTGTCTACCAATTTAAAATGCATATCAAAAAGAACAAAGTTATTTCTCTAATTTATGCATTCTTACTGCTCTCTGGTTGAATGTACAGACTCATGTTGATACTAGTCATACGTTTTGTTTTAGAATGTTGTTTTTTTTATGTCTTCAGCAGAAATCTGTAACCTCAGTTTCTCCTTCCTCAGAAATCTGTTCTTCTGGTTCTCTTTCCCGTTTTCACCATTAGTTCCTCCACAACCCTTTCTATTTCTAACGATGACTGAAGCTAGTTGCACAAAAGAGGCAAGCATTTTTTTTCTTTTACATATTAAACATTTGTGAATCATTTATGTGATAACTAGAGATATACCCACATGGCATTGGCTTAACATAAAGCATAAACCTAAACAACAATTAATCAAATGAGCAAATCTCAAAAGCAAAATCTGTAGCTAAAATAGACTCAACTGACCTCTTAAGTCAAATGCATCGTCTATCAGTGCATCAAACATGATTTTTGTATAAGAATCACTGAAGATAAGTTTACATTTGTGAATGAGTGAACAAGTTTATCTTACTGGATGGCACCTGATACAGAGATTGCACTATTTTGGGTTTTCTCTGTTATGTACAGAATGGTTATCACAAAGAAAGTAATTTTAAGACTGGAAGTCAGATACTGTAGCTCAGTTTAAGACTGAGCTCACTAGTATCTTACATTAGTCTTAATAAATTCTGGCAGCCATTTCTGGATTATCTTGCTCGATATGACACTGCATCTGATCAGCAATATACTCTGTTTTGTGCCGTCCACCTCTGTTTTGGAGAATTTGTGCCAACATGCGATGTGTGAGAGATACAGCAGTGTAATCAATTATTTTCTTGTTTGTTTGTTTATTGTCCCTTTTACTCTTTATTTTGTTTTCTGTCTCTGTTTTCATCCTCACTTGTTCTGTTGCAGTTAATCCATATATTTAAAAAGATGAAAAGGGATGCTGGTGGAATTAAGGACAGGAAGGTCACCCACACACACGCAGGAATGGTGCATTTGTCAGGGAGGGGACAGGGATGCAATCTGCAAAGTAATCCTCACTACTGGCATAATGAAATGGCCAAATCGAGAGATCAGCACACACACGCTCAGTGGACTGATTCATAGAGCAAGTCTGTGAAACTGTGGTCATGTTACATGTGGTTGTATGAGGGTGTGTAAATGATCCTTCCTGGCTGTTTATGTGGTTTAACGACTGAGAAAGAATGCAGAAGAAGAGTGGGTTTGAAACCTGACAGTTTAAAATGATGAGGAAAGTAAATGAGAAACCTTCCATGTGTCACGTCTGACACATGGAAGGTTGTCTTGTCTGTTTGCTAGATGTCAATTTATGTTCTCTGCCAGTTTTGGTCATTCTGCTTTAGTCTCTGTGTAGCCTTTATGATTATTCATCTGCATCTTTAAGTTACTTAGTATCTGTCTTGTCTCGTATCTCAGTTCCTAGTTTGGTGTCTTAGTTCTTAGTCCTGTACTTTAGTGTTCACTCCTGGTCTGTGTACTTCTGCGTTTTGCCCATGTCTAATCTGAGTTCTGTTTTATCTTTGCTTCAGTCTGTCTTCCTTGTTGTTAGTGTATTTGGGATCTGTCTGCTTGTGTCTGGATTAGTTTGTGGTTTTTTATTATTCTGATCTGTTACTACTTACTTTGATATGGTCCATGTTTAGTGTTCAGCAACTTGTGTTATGTCTGTTCCCCCTCTAGTAATCTGCCTGCCAGCCAGTCTCTCTGTTTTCCCCTTCTGTCTCTCTGCCTGCCTTGTTAGTCCTGATACCTGTCACCTGTGTTGCTCCCGCCCTGCTCGTTAGCCCCTGTGTATATATATTTGGTGTTTCTCTTCAGTCCCTGTCCTGTCGTTGTTGTGTGTTGTTTGAATGGTGTTCTGCTTGCTTTGGAGTTACGTGTACAGTTGTGTTGGATCTTGTCAGCCACCATTATTTGTTTTTCCATGTTTTGGATTAAACCCTGGGACAGAATCTCTGCTCTTGTGCCGCGACTTCCAACCTCAAAGGGTTCCAGGTGCATGGTGGTGCATGAAGCCGAAAGTGAAACCATGGCTGACCGTGACAAAGTGTACACACAGTTGCACCCTCAGCAGTGTTTTAGGTGTTAATTAAAAGGATGTCAGTTTAACTGCAACAACTGACAGAAATGGCCTACTTTACTAGTTCTGTGTACCCCTACATCAGTTGGTAACCCTCAAGTCAGTCAATGTTGTAGGTTATACTTCCTAATGTTTTGGCTTTTTAACAATAACTTTTATGCAGAGAAGGCGACTTTATGAGATTCTTTACTGTAGCCAGCTACCCAATACGCCTAACATATTTCCACATCAGTGTACATGCAGAACAGGTTTTACTATATGACTGTATGTATTATTTTAATTTAAATACATGCAAATATACTTTTTGTTGCCTTTTAGTTTATGGTTTACCATTTACAATGTGTGCATCCATGGGCACTGACAGTTTTTTGTGACGTAATTCAGCTGCTACTTGTGAAGTCGGGGTACATATATTTTCTCCGAGTTCACAAGTAGGAAATCCGATTTCAGGTGGCGTTCCAGGATAGTTTTTCTAGTTGGAGGTCGGAAATTTCCCAGTTCCGAGTTGCCTAGAATGCAGCATTAGTGTCTTGGGCTCTCTTCTGTGTGTACTCATCAGAACCCTGACACCGTGTAGTTATGGATTAATTGGTTTTATGTTGACTAACCCTTTTGAAATTCACCAGAGAGCCACTAAATGTCAGCAGTAAATGTGAAATTAGCTAAAGCAGTCGAAATATACTGTATATGTATACTGTACCTTACAATTTGTTAAATATTAACAAAAATACTGTATTAAACATGGATATGAATCAACAGGCCTCTGGACAGACATGTAATTTATTTATTTTTTTCTTCCAAAGGATGAATCAGATTATACAGAAGCAGAATTGCACAACTGTTAGCTCAAAGGACATGAGCTTGACAGTGACACTGACTTGTGATTACTGTAAGCAGTTACAGTATAAATCAATGTGTAACACAGCATAATGTATATAGACATAATGCATAATGGACTAAGTTGCAAAATCAATATCAATATATTTTTTAGCATCCAGTGAGTCAGATAGGTTCATTAAAGGGCCTTTAGGCCTATGTTCTTTTTCAATGAAATCACTTATTAATAATTGACTGTAACCTCGCATAGAAATGAACCACACTCCACATGTTGCTTGGAACAGCCATTATTCTGCTTCTTGTGTGAAGGAATCAGGTCTTTGTTTTGAAACCAACAAAACCGACACAGAGTTGGCTTTTATCCTATTGGACAGGTAAACTAACATTACTGCAAAGCACGTGACATATGTTATGCTTTAGTTGGCTCAAATTAGATAAGGTGACATGGAGGCTGTACACACTGGCTGTAGATGTTATGAATGATTACTCTGGCGATCCTTGTAGTTTATTACTTGTGGTAAATATATATGAAATTGTAGATATTTTATGACCTTGTAACTCCCCAAGTATTCCCATCATAAATTGTTATATGTTTTATGTTTATGTTATGTGTTTTAATGTCTGCAACCTTGTTAATTGTGCTGCTGCCTGTCTTGGCCAGGACGCTCTGGGAAAAGAGATTTTTTTATCGCAATGAGTTTTCTTTCTGGTTAAATAAAGGTGAAATAAAAAAATAAAGGTTAATTTGCCGGCTAACGCCGAGCAGTTGCTGATAACATACAGTGCAAAATATTAAAGTTGTATGGCTTTCCACATTACTTTACAGCTTACATTACAGCTAACGCGATCCATACTTTCCTGTGTCGGCTATCACCAATATTATGCCAAAGTGTTGATTTTTGCCTGCAAGAAATGATGTAATGATACAAAGCAAATGTGGAGTGATTTGTTTATACTAGCCTATAGTCAGTCCCTTCAGGATTTGGAGGGGCTTTTTTGTGATTGTTGCAGCCTAAAATACCTGATTTTGAGGCAGCTTTTCTAAAGAAAATTGTGTTAAATGTTGCAATGTTTTGGGGCATTTTTTTTGCAATAAAATTGTAGGAATTAGTGAAAACTGCAAAGGTAGATTGTGCTATTTCTAACTTTATAATTATAGTTGAACCATTAAAAAGTCCCTCCAGGATTTCGTGGGTGTAACCCTAACCATTTCCATGCACATTCAAACCAGCTTACCTTGATTCTTTTACCCTGTGTTGGGACACATGGTGTTGCATCCCAGTCAATTTGTCTTGTCTGACGTCCTGCATTCCTGCCATTCTCCGCGTATGTTTTGCGGTGGCAAAGTGATCGTTCATAGATAATTTCCTTATGTTCAACCACAATAAAACGGTAATTTGCTGTAATTATTTAGGCAAACGTGAGATGCTGGCACATATTTGTGACTATTGTTCAAAATTGCAAGTTGCGCTGAATGCACAGGGATTTGTTGAAGTTTTGTTAATAGTTTTTACGAAATCCTGCAGGTACAGTATAGTGATTCAAGGCGGGGCAGATCTGCCACTGTTTGCTCCTAACGTTCAGTTTACATTTATTGTCATTTTACCAATACTCAGGGAGGCTACACAGCAGTCACTGTACATTTACATAACCCCACATAATAGCCCATAGAATAATGCAACATAAGAACGCAGGACAATATCACAGTGGAAGACCCATTCACTACTGTAATGTAACTTAATGTCTAACTGTGATGAAGTGTGGCAATAACCTCATTTATAATATTCAGTCTAGCACACTAACCGTTTTCGTCATAATCCAGCTGTGGTGAGCCCTAATTGCTGAGCCTCCTGTTAAAGATACACAAATAGGGTTTGCTGCTGAAAAGCAGACAGGCGAGCTGTAGGTCTAACTCTGATGTAGGCTATCAAGTCGGCTAAATGCAAAATAGGTCTCTCTTTATTGACTTCATTCTCCTCAGATAGTTTTTCTGTGACATCCCTGTTCTCTTTGCCAACACGTGGGGGTTTCTGGAAGGGATGAAAACATCACATAAAATCCCTGTTGCCATAACAACGGTTCTATACTTCTCCCTCCTCCTCTTTCTCCATCCCTCTGCTGCAATGCATCACACCCTCCCTCTTCCTCCTCCTCTTGCATGCACCTCCCTCACCCAGCCTTCAGCCATGCCAAAGACTGAATAGCGCCGCATCCTGACACACCATGTAATTTCTGGAGGTTACTGATTTGTGTGTGTGTGTGTCCCTGATCCGCTTCTCTTTGTTTTGACTACCCGGTCAGCATCTCCAGGAGGAATATACAGGTCTCCAAAAGACATTTCCCACCGTCTTTTCTTGAACGCAAGAAGAAGAAGAAGGAGATTTTTTTGCGCCCTGACCCTCAAATCTCTCCGGTACTTCCCGGTGTGACAGCAGGGAGACTTCAAGCATCTGGCTGCCTGATGCGAGATGGAAGCAGTCCACCTCTGATCCATCAATAGGACGAGGCGTTTCGAGGATATCAGTGAGGGGAAAAGCGCAGATTTCTGGGGATTTTGGTAAAGGAGACCGCCGAGAAGCAGCGCTCGGCTCTGCTGCGTTATTGGACTTTAAAGAAGAGGACACACATTTATGCATTTTGTTTTTGCAAAATCACCGATTTAAGATTGTAGTTTCTTTTATGATCACCCGATTTTTTTAAACACAAAAACAATCACGCCCTATCTCACTTCAGTCACACCGCTGGAATGCACAAATTAATAGCGCACTTTTTTAGTCTCCAAAGACGCACAGAAGGCGTGCAGCCGTGTAAAGAAACCCCTTAGCTGTTCAGTGCATGCTTTCCAGCCCGCTTTCAGACCGCTTTCAGACCCGTGTCTTATGCTGGTGGTGATCCATCAGAGCACCAGAGCCACCTTTGCTGTTGCGGTCAAGCCTGAGAGGACCATGCCCAGACAGCCGCTAAACCAATCAAATGGCTTAACTGATGTGCACAAACAGCGGATGATTTCACTTGAATAAGTCAGCCCGACTCTGCACTAGATTTCTGTCTAGAGCTTTATCTGAAGAAGCCTATAGTTGTGAAACTGCTGCGTTGACTCCAGAAAGAAAGCAATAACACTGATATGAGGCAATAACAATAAAAAAGTCATAATTGTAATTTCACCCAAAGCTGAAGAGAGGTGGAAAGAAGCACGAGGATACTTCACGCTGCTTTTGCCATTTCCCTCACACTGTGGCTCTATGAAGCACTGGCCCTCCTTTTTGCCCAGGTCAAATCTGTAGTCCTGCATGTGGGAAAGGTCAGCTAGATGTTTCCTGTCACAGGCACACTTGCACTATAACTCCATTGCACAACTCTTTTACAAGCTGCATTTCCCATTTTCAGCATAGATTCCATCGGACACCTCATCGTTTCCTATCAGATCAGCTAATCAGTCTTCCAGTAGATTTTATTGTTATTCACTGACAGTGCGATTTATCTGTATCAGGATACTGGAAATATTTGGTGCACACAGTCTCATTGTGGAGCTAAACAGGCTTGAGTGCCACAGAGTATAAATAGTTGAACAAAGACCCTTTTAGAGTAACAAGAGGCCGAAACCTGAAACCCGGAATGATTCCTCCCTTTGGTCACTCTGTACGCTCACACGCTGAGAAGCTAGAGAGACTCTCCAGCAAAATAGAGTGAGTTGGGTCCAGTGAGGGTGAAGAAACAAGTCAGCAGAGCACACGCCTTCCACACTGCAGCCGTCAGGTGCTCAAGAAGACCAGATCCACAAAAATGCCCACCCAACCCTCCGTCCAGCCATTGTATTAGCTGGAGAAAAAAGAAGAGGAGGAGTAGAGGACATCCGGTTGGACCACACCCCAGAGTCCCAACAGCCCCAGGAAATAGTCTCCTCTTCTCACCTCCCAGACTTTTAAGTAGGACATCAGGACATCTTTGGCATTTTAGTGCTCTGAGGTTTTCATCACCAAGCTGGAATATCTGCTGTAGATCTGTCTTGTGTCTCCCATTCTGAAGTGTGTGTGTGTGTGTGTGTGTGTGTGTGTGTGTGTGTGAGAGCACGGTGTGTTTTGACGCAGCTGAGAGCTGCTGCAAGTCTTCTTTCTCCTGTCAGGATGTCTGCAGCACAAGACCTGCTGCTGCTACCTCTGGCCCTCCTGGCGCTTCAAGGTGAGTGGGCAGTAGTTGTGTTGCCATGGCGATGCCACAAAGGCAACACCTTGGCATGAGGGTGAGCCACCATCCAACCCCACACACCCCATTCACTGACTGTGCATTTTGTTACTGTTGTTGAGGTGTTTCCTGTTGTCTGATGTTGCCTTCACTGCCGCTGTCTGCTCTGTTTGTGGTCAATGTATTGCGGGTTCTTGTGTGTGTGTGTGTGTGTGTGTGTGTGTGTGTGTGTGTGTTGTGATGGATGGATGTGTATGCTTGTGTGTTCAGATGCAGATGTTCGAGTGAGTATTTGTTGTTCCATCATTGTGCTGGATTGCTTGCTAAAAGCCCAGCTGTTCACGTTTTATTATTTTTTCGAGTAATGAGATGAGGCCATGTGGCGTTGTTAAAATGGACAGCACACACACACACACACACATACACACACACACACACACACGCACGCATGTGTACATGCAAACACACATCCACACACATTTAGATATAGAAGCTACTTGTGTATTCAAAGGTCTAGAACAATGTAGATCATTCATTTCTCATTGGGGCATAGTGTTCCTCTGAAGTGTGTATCTATGTGTGTGTATAGGGCTGCAACTAATAATCATTTACTTATTGATTAATATGCCAATGTTTTTCTCGATCCGGTTTTATAATTGGTTTTTAAAATGGCAGAAAACAGTGAAAAATGCCAGTCACAACTTCTTAAACACCATCCGTGAAATCATCAAATGTCCAAAACCAAAATATATTAAATTGACAGTGATAGGAAACATTTTATTGGAGAAGCTGGAACCAGTTAATATTTGGTGTCCTTGTTTGAAAAAATTGCTTAAACATTTAATCGATTATCAAAATAGTTGCTGATTAATTTGCTGTCATTCAACTTCGACAAATCATTTCAGCTCTAGATCAAAGGAATGGCTGTTCTCAGTGAGATGCAATTTCAACATGTTCTGTTGCTCCCATTATAGATGTGTGTTCCTGTTCCTGGCACTTGTTTGTTTTTTCATTTGAAGGTACTCATGCATGCGCTGTAAGAAAGATGAGCATTTCTACAGCACAGCGCAGCTGGTGTGTGTCACTCAAGTCAGGTCTCTACTGTGTGTGCACCCTATGTGCTACTGCAGCCCAGCGACACTAGCATCATGACTTTTAAAAGAGAATATGTTCCTTTAAATTTCAGCCAAACATCTAAGTTGCCCTTAATAGTTCCACTCCTCCTGCTGGTATCTGTAGCATTTGAGATATCACGATCACGAACTTCTCACCTTCACAAGAAGCCATTTATTGCCATTTATTCGTTTATAGCACGAAAAGTACCTTCCACTGAGATGAAAGTTGCCTGAGTTATATGATCCATCACCTTTAAGTTACTGTCAGTCTCCTGACACCCACAGGAAGAGAAGCAAGGAAATAATCTTTAACAAGCCTGTCTTTAAAAAAAGTACAATCACAACCATGGTTCTTTATTTATGGCCTCTAAAACAATCAATTGGCATGCATTAAAAATGACAGGAAGCAATTTAAACATATTAAACATATTAAATGGTTTACACACATGAAAACATTTTTTTTTCATTGAAAGGCTTTTATTTATTTATTTAGCTTAATTTCTTTCACAGACCCAAGCCAAGTTAAAGAGAAAAAAACTCTACTGTCACGTTGTCATCATATAATCTCATTTTAAGCACTGCAATTTAAAATTGAGCTCAACAAGGAAGCAATGCATTAAAAGAGAGATTTACTGATCACTGTCAGCCAGCTGCTCTTGGTCTCTCACTCAGTCACTGCTATACTATTTAACCACGCATACTTGCACAAGACAACACAGATTCATACTCTCAAAAATATAGAATAATTATAGAACTGCTGTTATTCCTTTAAATGAAGTGACAGTATATTCAGGATATAAAGTTGAAACAAGCAGGCAGAGCTGCAGAAAGTTGAGCCAGGAAGCAGATAGTGAGCTGAATGAAGCTTGGCAAAAAGTAAGACGGTTATACAACCTCGATTGAAAGAAAGAGACAGTTTGGTCGAGGAGCCGGTGGGTTAGTTAAGGACTGAAGCTAGTAAGCACATCTGGAGCTGAACGCAGTGGGGATAAGGATATAAGACGAGACAGGAAATTGGATGGAATCTGCTAAAAAAGGAGGAAAGGAACAGATTGTGGCTGATAGAAATAGCAGTTGTGCCCTATTTATTTTGAAATGTGCATTTGCATGTGTGACAAAAGCATGAAATGGAATTTAAGAAGTTTCTGAAAGGCAGCAGTGCACAAGGAAAGAAAACATATGTATTATAACAGTTAAATATTAACTAGGGTGATTTAATAACCCACACTCTGTCACACTAACCTCAGTCTGAATTAAGCTGGCGATGGCTGCGGAGGGCAAATCCAATCAGAAAAAGAAGAAATAGGAAAAGATACAGGAAAATACAATAAAACACACATAGATATCCCTGTAACTCATCAAGAAATGTCATTTGATGCTACAAATGAAAAATGCTTTAATTCAGACATCACTGATCATTCACAAGAATCCACGGATCTCATTGCAACTGCTTGTCTCTTCCGACGAAAGAAACGGCAAAAATCTGTGGATTACCAGTAAACTTGTTATTCTATTTGTTGAGTGTTTGTTGCTGATGGGTTTTTGTGTTTTTGTGTGCTTTAAATGTCACTAATAAAAAGTTTGGATACATACAGCAAATCACTTTAAAGATGAGAAGAAAATATTTTTTTAACCAGATGTTAGAAGCTGCAGGTTCATCTGGGACAGACCATGTGGTGAAAAGAGCTCTAATATGTTTCTGAATATCAGGACTGAAGATGCATAAATTATAAAGGATTTTGTAAAATGTTGTAATTAATTATGAGAATAGAAAAATCCCTATGAGCAATATGCAATAAATGGTTATAATTAGATGTATTTTTCTCCATGTTGTCTTCAAATATGACACAAACCCAACAGTGAATTGACGGAGTTGTGTGTCCTTGCTTTCAAGCCGGAACAGAGGCTCATAAAGCCTAATGCATGCAGCAGAGAGACTCTTTGCTTCCGCAGTGGCAGCATAGAGCTATTTAGTCTGCAAATGGATCGAGCACAAACTTATGGTCAAAGGAGAGCACTGTCAACAGGATGTTTGAACAATACACCATATTCTCAGTTGCAAGCCATTTAGATTCATGTCCATTCCATCACTCCACCCCAACCACTGCATCTGCACAAATTGGAAATTACATTACAGACAAGCTGATTATTTTGGTGGGTAGAACATGAATTAATTATAACTACTTGAGGGGTGCAGCAAGTGTTTTAAAAGTATGTACTTTCGCTTTAGGAATTTTGTTGAATACTGTTCTCTTAAAGTAGGAACCAACTCATTAGAATAAAAGGTGTATGTTGTGAAAGCAAATGTTTCAGCTTTTTTGCTGATTTTTTAACAGTTATAGCTTACAGAATCAAACAGAATCTGGACTCTGCAGGTTTTGTGTGACAATTAAAGTCACTTCTTCCAGTTCAACCCCTGATAAAATATCATGTCATAGGTTGTACAAGCTTGTTCTACAAAACTCGCAATGGCTGCTACATACAGCAGATAGGATGTCTGGATCTATATTCATCACCTCATACAAACAGCAGGCATTGTAAACAAGGAGCTCTTGACTGATGCACTACATCTGAGTGGCCCTGCAATCTGAACAAAAACATGAATGTGATTTTTTAAAAAACTGTACCGTTCACTTGTGCCCCATCTGCAGCTGCTGTCAGACTCTGCAGCCTCTAAATGTAATACTGTAAAGAGTTTCATATTAATTCCATTTGCTTTTTTTATTGCAAGATTCATTCTAACCCTCAAATCTGGAGTGAGATGCTGTGCCCTAATTCAGGCTGTCTGTGTGCTGCTAACTTGTGCCACGCACAGCAGACAAACAGGCAGACACGCACGCACACACACACACACACACACACACACACACACACACACACACACACACACACACACACACACAGACAGACGAGCACACCTGAGCCCCTGTTCATCCAGCTGTGTGACAGAAGTCTGTAATACCAGGGTGTCCTCAAGTGGGGTGGGAGTCAGGGGAGTGAAAGGGGCGTTTGAAGGACGAGATTGCCTTCCACAAAGTTAAATTTGTATGTAGAGCCAGGAACTCATCGATTTATCAATGATTATTGTTAATACTGTCAATATAGTTAAGTATATTACTTTTTATTTGCTCCTCTGAACAGTGGGAAAATGCTTATGAAAAGCTGTTTGTGAAGTCAGTACTTATTAACATATTGGTTTATAGCTTATTACATATTGGCGTGATTTTTTCACATTGCTTGTGTTTAGTGGAAAAAATAGACCCATCTGGAAAAAAATAAAAAGTACATGTCATGAGAACAACATCTGTTGAGATATTGACCCACTGAATACATGTACTAAAGTGACATGACAGATACCATTTTTTATTCATTTCCCATTATATCAGTTTGTAAACATTTCGCATTGAAGTATTAAATCTTAAGAGTAAATTTAAGTATCAGCTTGTCCTCCATCATTTTAGAGTTTGTCTAGTATGAACTGTGAAAGACTTATGTGAAAAACTGTTTAAGTTTCCAGAGTGTCCACCAAACCAGACAAATTTAAAAAAAAATGTATTTCCTCGGTAAACACGTTCCTAATGAATTTATGTTCTCAGTCGCTAGTTTCGTGTCTTCTTCAATACAGCCTGATGTAAGGATGGTCCCATCTAGGGTTAAATAGACCCGTGGCAACCTTGTGATTGACAAGTCGCTACCACGGCAACCTGTCAATCAGGATAGAGGCAACTCTTATCCACTGCACTGTGTACATTTAACTGGCTGGGAACCTTTTTTTGGGGTGCTGCCACTTTCATTCAAGAACTTTGACCCCTAAACAGTGTGTTTTCCGTAACATTTTGATCGCTTCAAAATGTCTTGTTCAGCATTCCGTTGTACTAAAAG